CCTTTTTCGGTAAGAGATCGTCATAATCAGGTTAACGTGAGTTGGCGCGGCGTCTTTTAGGTCACGTTTTCCCGACCCCACAATATCAAAAATTCCACATGATTTGTGGCATATGGCACCAAATAGTACAAACTGTGCCGAAGCAGCACATGCCATGAGTAATCGTGAAGGCAAACAACTCAAGCTAATGACAGCAATACTAAGGTTTAATTATATAAACATAATATATATATATATATATACATTTACTTATTAATTAATTTTTTTAGAGGGCAAAAGCTAGACATGCGCAATTTTAAAAGAATTAATATAAAAGCCAATTACAATGTTAATATAAGTGGTCAAGACAAAAGTGGTATTGCACGAAAAAAATTGGCTATTAAACGAAGCAGTCAGTATTTTTTATTTTAATTTAAATTTTATTTTTATTTTTTTTAATATTTATATTGATTAAATTATATTTATTTGTACAAATAGCAAAACGGCAATCTAAAGCTAATTCTTCAACAAAAAATAAAAAACAACGAATATCCAAAGTAATCGATTTAACTGATGAAACATCACAAGAATCTCAAAGCAATAATAAACCCAAGGAACCTGGTATGACGATGATGGAACAATTAGAATATGAGGAACGCATGTTGATGATTGCAGAGCGTAAAGAAAAATTAAGAGAATTATGAATTTCTAATGCTATTAAAGAGCGCGAATATGGTCTCAAAGAATAAATATCAAATATTATATATGCGTGAGAAAATAAAAAAATTATTAATGTTTTAGCATTAAAACTTGTTTGAATATAGCGAGTGGTATGCGATTATCTATTTTTCGATTTGAATAAAATCTATATATACGTTATGTATCAGCGCTCATTATTAAATAATTTATCGATTAAATCAATTAAATTAATTTTCTTATTGATTGTATAAATATGACCTACATATTAGCCGACCCTGATTAAATTACATACAACGTGGACAAGCCCATCGATAAAAATTCATATATAAAATAGTATACAAACTAGTATAACCCGACTCGAATTTTTTTTATACATATACGTATACTATACGCTTTTTTTAAAAAAAAATTTTTATACGTATAAGTATACTATACGCTTTTCCTTTTTTAGTGGCCTACGCAACGTCTTTCATGGTATTAGCCATACGATTTTTTGCTATACCGGTTTGATTAAATATGCCGTGTATCACCCTAGTATATACGTGCAAAAATTTATAAGCATCAGGTTACAATCAGGTACAAATTTATGAGTAAATTCATAAGCGATTCGTAAGCAATTCATTATCGGGCTTACAATCTCTGATCAAAAAATCACTTTTATTCTCAATAATCATGTCATATTACATAAATGATTGGCTCAAATTTTATTTAACCTAATCACTCACATTAAATCATCACGAAATTGGAGATTTTTGCCCATATGATAATACGGATTCAAAGATTTTTGTATCTTGTCTTTTTTTTTTTGGTAATAAATAAATATTTCAAAATTATCTGTTAATAATATAGTTTATATATGATAAATCAAATATTATGTCTGTTAAACATCTTTTTATAAAAAAGCAAATATCTATTAAATATCTCAAAATCACCTGTTTATAGTATATTTAATATATACAGTATCATAAACAAAAGAATTGGGTAGTTATTAAAAATATTATTTATTTATTTTAAGCAGATTACCATTATATTATTAAAACAATATGATTTTTATTTTATTAGATTGTTATTAGATAATTAAAAAGCAATATTAGATTATACTCATATTTATATTATAAATATATATTATCAATCATGTTAATATTAACTTAACAGAAGCACAAAAATATTTTTAAAATATTATAATAATTTTTAAATATATTTTTTATCATATTTATCATATAATAATTTTTAGTTATAATATAGTTATATAGTAGCTATATAATAGTTATATGACAAACATATTTAGCAAATTTAAAGGTTTCTGCTAAGTTATAAATTTCTCAGAACTTTAGCAATCTCATCTAGCCCTTCTTTAAATTTTTCACCAATAGTTTCCCAAAAATTATGTTTTGCTTTTCCGCCGGGTGTTAATTCTAACTTTTTTAATAAAGAATTACTCATTATACCATTTGGATCAAATTTCTTAGTCTGTTCAATAAATGATTGAACATTTTGAGCACCATATGCATTAATTAGATATTTATGATCAAGTTTGGGTGAAATATATTGCCCCCAATGGCATCTTGCCTTATATTTCAGTGCAGTTTCGGTCAATGCATCATATACACTACCAAAATAATCAATCTGGACATCCTATTTTTTGTAAAAAAATAAATAAATAAATAAATAATAAGAAATTGAAAGAAAAAAAGATTTCTCAGGTTTGAATCTTAATAATACACACATAAACCAAAATCATTATTTCCAAATATGCTCTGGTCTCATTGCTACTTCCATTTGCCATTGAAAGATATTGTGGCGAAGCAGCAGAAAATCTCATAGCAGCTGGCCCATTGACGTATAAATTGTACTTATCTCGTAGTTCATTAATTGTTTTCAAAATTGCATCTGTTGCTAATATGTGGTTATCATCCTCCATTGAAAATGAAAATTCTACCGGAATTCCTTTAAAATTATTAGCAAACGCTTTTGGTTAAAAAAAAAAAAAAAAAAAAAAAGGAAATAATAAAATTAGTACAAATTTAATAAAATCATTTTTTTTAAAACCAATTTCACTTAACCTACCATAACCGATTTGATCATAAATTAATTCATAACTATCAACAATTGGATCTTTGTGATATTGAGTTCGCAAAACTTCTTCAATGGTAAATGGTACTATGCCTGGGAACAGGTGCAATAACAAATATAAAGCCCCACCCACATTAATGGCCAAAACTTTTGATATCTCTTGTACTATAGGTAATTCAAAAAGTTCTTGAAAAAGTTTCTTGACCTCGGGCTTTGGATACTTTTTCACATCTTCTTTTGTCGCCAAATCTCTCAGAGTAATCAAAGCGTAATCTGTATATGGGCTTATCCAAATTTCTGTATTACGGTATTTCAAATAGGGATTTGCGGAATAAGGTTTCTGTTTTAAGATATATTTGGCTTGTGTCCAAGTAGTTTCTTCCCTTCTTTCTATAACGTTATACAAGGGAATTGTCGAAATAGTCACCTCATAGGTCACTCCAAGAGCACCAACAGTTACTATAGCAGAATTAAATGTTTCATCATCTTGAATTAAAGTTATATTTGGAAATTTATGACTAAATATGGAAGAATTTGTGATTCCTTTTGTTGGTTCTATTTTATAAATTTTGTCTCCTTTGAAAAAAAATTTGTTAAAAATGGATTATTAAATAATAATAATAATAGTAATAATAATAATAATAATAATAATAATAATAATAATAATAATAATAATAATAATAATAA